ACTACGTTTAATTATGAAAACATTACACAGGATGATTTTTTACTTTCACAGACATTAAGTGAAATTGAGCGTAGTGGTGTTTTAAATAAAAAAGGCCTACTTACATGTAGTGAAATAGATACTTTAAAAATGGTGTACAACCGAACTATCTCCTCAACTTCCAATTGATTGACTTTGACAGGATTTTAAGCAGGAAAAAAACCTTTCTTTAATGAAAAGAGAGAACGTTTTGGAGAAAGCGTATCCGACTGATTTTGACGCCAAGATTGTACCAGTTTTCATTCTGCTTAAGCCGGTGCTAGGGTGCGTGGACAGTAACCTTTCACTTTCCAGTACCGTCCATGAACAGGCTCAAACAGCGAGTCTGCAACATTTTCAATTTTTGTGTCGCCTTGGATAAAGGGATTACTTTTGTCGGCGGTTGTCCCCTTAAGCTTGTCCGGAGCATAAGTCAGTCATTTTTTGTCGGATTGACTTCAAACTTGGTATGCATGCTTCTTACAATGACCCAAAGTGCAGTGCACAAGAACCAGTACTCTGCACTTCTTATTTTCTGAGTTATTGCCCTTTGTTAATTTTCATACTTTATTTTTGTTCGGGCCATTTTATTGTTTTGGGTTTGACGTTACATCGACACAGTATAGGTCATATTGCGACGTTCCAGCTTTACTTCCTAGCATTATTTCAGGCACGAACGGACACCTGAGTAGAACCACCGACGTGAGCTAGCTGGATAGCTTCCTCACATGAAATAATCCAAAAAGTACTTGCAAGAATTGTCCATGTACATGCTGAAGCAAGCATTCCGAGACTGCTACATTTCCAATTAAGTCAGCCTGGTTTGAGTTTTATGTCAACCGTATATAAAAGCGACGTATGAACATATCTGCGAATGATTCTTAATGCAAAATTCTACCATTTCATATTCAATGTTTAATACTGATTAAGCCGATGCTCGTGACATGGACGCTATCTAGCACTTTCCAGAGCTGTCCTTGTGCAGGCTTAAGTAAATCGAGTCTGCAACATAACCAATTAAAATATTCAAAACTATTTTCCCAAACTATGATGCTTAACATAAATGTTAAGCTCAATTTACCGGACGGTGCAGGCTACCTTTGTGATTTTTGAAGGTTATTTGCACTGTTCCTCAACTCTGGCATGTAATAAAGTTATCAATTCAATGCAAGAGTGAGGGTGAGTAGTACTGGTAAACTGCTTGACAACCTGGGCAGAAATGAAAAGGTGGTTTCGCATAGTGGCTTACGGTCGCAATCCCGAGGTTTAACTAGCAATAACATCACTTTTTTGCTAATATATATTATTATTTATAGGCTTCTGGCGGGAAATTCAAGACAAATAAGATATATATGACTATTTTTCTTGCATCAAATGTATGGGCGGATATCCTAGCATACATAAAATGAACGGATATCCTGGTAGAAGTTCTTTGTTTCATATGCTTTCATATTAGTAAAAAGGCAAAAAAAGGTTTAGATTATAATAATTGTTAAATGCACTAACCATTTGTTAATATTTTCTTTGTCATCGAATTCAATGACTGCTTTTGCAAATGAATCTCTGTACGTTACATATTAATCTTTTATTTTAGATACATGCTATTTCTTTAAATAATATTGAAATTGAATAATTTCAAAATATTATTTGCAATTTTAACCGTTATTAGATTTTTTAATGTTCTCGGCCCGATATACTTCTAGCCACTACGTAAACGGTACGTTCTATGCAGATGAATTTAGACGTCTGCGTCAAGAAATCGCGTGTAAAAGGAGGGACAATAGGTTCTGTTCCTGCACGACAATGCTCAAGCTAAAACATCCCAAGTTGCGATGGCTGCTGAAATTGACTGCAGCTTTGAAATTCTTTCCAATCCCCCATTTTCTCCCGATTTGGTCCCTCTGACCTCTACCTGTTTCCAAGACTAAAACACAAGCTTCGTTGTAGACGTTTTGGAAGCAATGAAGGTGTCATGAAGGCGGTCAATGAGTTATTTTAGGACCAAAATAGAGAGTTCTATTTCAAGGTTTGGAGCACAAGTAAGCAAAGTGCATTTATGTAGAGGGCGATTATATTGAAAATTAAGACCATTAGTTTGATCCTCTGACTTGGATCCTCTAACTACCAGAAGTATATCGGGCCGCGAACTTTTGATCAATCCTAGAACATGTTAAATTGATAAAAGGGAAGACACGAATATACTAATATAGATGTTAGTAGAGCTGGTAATTGCTCGAAATCTTTTTTTGCCATTATATCAAGTGGGAAGAATACGGGTACAAGTGAGAAAGTTTTATGTGAAGGAATTCCCAATATGAATGTTGTTAAAATACATTTTCAGTCACACCTGCTTTGAATATGACAATGATATACTTTAAAATAGCATTTGATATTACACCGAGCAATTACATGTGCTAAATAGTTTAACATTCTTAGTAATGTTAGAAAATATACATACGTGGCAATATTTCAAATAACATAAAAATGCCACCTCCGTTTCGAAGCTGTGTTTTATATATTTTTATGGGTGTTGCTAAAAAGCTATAATATATATATTTACATTTATCAACCATTTTAGTCTAAACAAAATAATCAAATTGCTCTAAGGTTACACTTATTTTGTTGACAACTTTCCTTAAAATACTTACGATAAATCAAAATGTTTATTGGCTGCTCATTTTTGCCCATTTATTGTCCATTTCGTTTTACATATTGGCGCAAGAAGGTAAGTAGATTTATCTTTCATTTTATTGTTGAATTTTATTTTGGCTATTGAATAATTATTTTGACTGTTTTCATATCATTTAATAATTAATCAATTTCGTTAATTTCTTTTATTTCAAAATGAAATTTTGTACTATTTTTTTTCTTTGATTCCGGCTTTTTTGAAAAACTTGATATTTTTATGTTTGTTGAACGTCATCAATGTTTTGCATTGCATTTTTTAAAGATAAACAATAAGTTAACAGAAAGTGTTTAGAAAATAAATAAAATTTATTTTTTTAATTGAAGAATAATTAGAAAAAAAGCCTGTATGAAAGAAATATGTTAGTATATTTCGACAGGAAGCGAGTAGCGGTGCTTGAAATTTTTGTTAAACGGTTCAATTCCATTTTTGAAATAGAAAAATGATATTATGTTCCGGAGTATTTTATTCTGTTTTCAAATATCAAACTCATGACATCATAAATTTGTTGGAATAATGTAAGTAATTTATGATTAATATTTTTCTACATGTCTCTGGCAAAGAAATAATTGATGACATATTCGTTATGTTTAACAATAATCACTGCAAATACTTAGAAATAAAATTCAACGGTTCGTCGCGTTGTATTCGTAAATCTTTTACCGTTTACCTTGTTGAGGATCGCTTATTCTTTAAGAAAGATTGTTAGTTATCAACTAATATTTTTTCACTGGATGAAGTATCGTTATCACTTGCTTAATCGGATTTTCCCGATCATAAATGAGATCAGGCTCATATTCAATTAATATTAATATGCGTTTGCATATTATTTATTCTTTATGGCATTTTCTTGATACTCCACAATGATTATTATAACTTACAGCACATGTTAAATACATTGGTTTCTTTTGTTTGCGCAGCGTATGCATAGCCATTGAACGTCTTTCGTATTTATTTCCCGCTCCCAAAGCATTAGTTTTGTTAACACTTATTGAACTGTTGATCGCGCCTCTGTCAATATAACATTAATTTGCGAATAACACATCATATTCAATGGCTTACATACTATACAATAATTGTGTCATTTTTATAGACGTCCTAATATGTATACATTCAAACAACTTTTTTCAATGAAAGATTCGCCAGCATTTTATAAACTATGTAAATTCTTAACGATAATTATAAGAAATGTAAGAATGTAATCACATATTGATGTTTGCATTTTAAAGTCAGTTATGATTTGTAATGTTCTGAGATATGATTTTGTTTTACTGATATTCACTTATCACTTTCTTACTATACATTAAATGTCGTTTATGCCTCAGATATACTTTTTTTTCATTTCTCAATGGCTTAACTTTTTGATATACTTTTATAGTGTCCAAAAGGTTAATCACTGGCTTATTACCTGAACTATCTTTTTCATATGATGTTGTTTAAGCAATAAATACAGTTATAGTGAATAAGCATTTTGTATGGAAGTCATACTTCTTTGTTTCCTTTTTACAACTTAAATGACAAACTATATGTAACAAATATTAAACATTCTCTTAAAACATTATTTAAATGTTATAAAATTCATATCTGCCCTTTCTAAAGAAGTAAAAAAGTGTTTCTAAGAATAATGTGCCTCTAATTAAATAACATGTAATAGATATGTTGATATTGTTTAATAATTATTGTCTGATTGATTTCAATATTGTATTTACATTTTTCTAAATGCCTCGTTAAACATTTTGACAGTTATCCTCGTGTTACATGTTGTATGCATGTTTAAGTGAATAAAAAGGTAAATCTTCTTGTTGTTGTGGCAATAGCAGAACATTGAAATCATAACACCCTTCAGTACAAAAAATATAAATTGTGCAAAGACACAATTACATAATACATGAAAAGTATTTGAGAAAGGCGCCTTATATAGATTTGACGCCGTCTTTGACGTCTGACGTGCGCCGCGAGTCAGATAGTTGCCATGGTGTTTATGGCATATTTTTGTTGTTTGTTGATATCTTTCTATGTAAAGTTGTGAAAATATTTTAATTATATGGGTTTATAACATATCAAAATATCAAATTCGTACCTATTTTATTTAGCTTTCAAACAATCTTGTCACAGAATATATTGACACCCTATGTAACAAAATAATGTATATACATATATGTTTATAAAAAAGGATTACTTTAATAGTTAAGTGTTTTAGATTATTTGCCTTAAAACCGTACATTTTCTTGAAGTTAATGAAAAAAGATCTCTTGTTTTTTGTTAATATGTAACAGTTATATTTTTTATTCCAGATTATATGCAAATAGATAAAAGGAGTGATGTAAATGATATTTCAGTTCTCCAAAAAATTATGAAATATTTCGAGAAACCGCAAAGAGATGTATTCTTAAACGTTGATAAACGTAAGGAACAAGAATGTGATGCTAATGCTAGGAAAATATTAAGGCGTTGTGTTTACCAAAGGCCAATGGATCCGACGTGTCCAAAATTTAGTGAAATTCTTCGCAATTGCAGTAGAAAAAGAAAATGCTCTGTGGATCAAGTGTGTACAAACCAAAGAGGATAAACATGAATTTCATTCCATCAGTTTTCAAAAATACTTTTTTTTCTTTTAACTTGAGTCACATTATGCCACTGAATTGAGTGATTTTAATTAAAGAGATATTGAAATTATTTCCAACATGAGTCGTTGTTTTGTCACTATACACAAAAAGAAAGTAACCGGTGTCTATCTACCAATTTAGAACTGCTACGGACTTGGTGTTTATTCAGACTGTTTATTTTATACATGTTCTACCTCCGATAAAATGGATACACAGAGGCAAAATAAACAAAGCATTCTGATCGATATGTTCCATTACTTTAGTTCATATCATATCATATGTAAATAACATCTCGCAGTTTTTAATTTTATCTTATAAATATCTTCCAATATATTACATAATTTTCACCATTCATATGCGAAGGCAGGGCGTCATTTTAAAACTTGTGTCACACCTTGGCGTGTGTTATAAGCAAAGACCGGGTAAGGAAAAGCATAGTCAAGTATACAAAATAGGTAAACCTAATCTAATGTAACATATTCAAATGAAACCGTATCTTATCTAACATATTTAAATTCACCCGTTCTGTTTGGATAATTATTCACACTTATTCTTATTCACTAACATCTATACAGACCAGATATTAAGTTCAAATTACGTATGGTCTTTAACATATTTATTAAGTTTTCTATCATTAATCAAATGACATGAACACTAAAATATGGAAAACACAAATTGCTATGTAAGTAGAACTACTTAAATATCAGTAATTCATACAACGGTTTATCTAAATATTCACCAAACACATGAAAGTAACATAGACTATTAGGCGCCCGGGATACAAGAAGTTTAAACATCTATTTTATAAAAAGCTATTAAAAAACAAAAGAAAAAAATCGTGTATTTTCTATAATGAATTAAACACACCCTTGATGCCCAAATATGCAGAAACTTGTAATTGGTAAAACTATAATTAACAAATACCCCTACTGCCTTTTATTTCTTTACTCACTCTGTGAGTAAACAAATAAACCCAGAGCAGAAAAAGTCTTTCATTAAAATAACTGTTAAAAATGTCTTGAGAAGGAGATTGAGTCTGTTCATGAGAGATAACTGCATCTCCTATACCTCCTAGCACCTCATTAAACGGTTACTAGTATTCAATATTGAACATGTAATGTGGTTGAATCAATTATAGTGAAGGACAATACAAATATAATAACATTGAAGTGAAGTACCAGGGAACTTTTCACAGCTGTCACGTGTCACTTGCCACGTGCTGTGGTGAAGTGTAAAAATCTAAACCTAACGTTTCTTATTTTGTTTTTATATGATTTATTTGTGCACGTTTCAAGAAGTACAAAACGTAATTGCGTGAAACGAGAACAAAAAATAACTGCTTAGAGTCATAAATACATGTATATACATGCACATCGTTTCCATTTTGTAAAACATTAAGATTTAAATCATTATACATTTTGTTAGATCATTTAATCACACAAGTATTCAATACATTTGCTTTGTGCAAATATATTATTTCTATTAAGAGAATTAACATTGTCTCTAAGACATTTACTGTTGCGTAGAAACTCAATAATAACACAAAATATTAATATAGTATAGAATGATCCCTAATTGCTTTATTGTTCATCACTTCAAACTGTGACGGTGTTGGCAACAAGTCTTCAAGTACCTGTATGAAAATACGTTCTCTTGACTCTCTGTATATATTCTCAGGAAAATAATTGGACAACACCAAAAATGTCCCACTTCTATAAGGAAAAAAAATTAATCGCTTAATATTTAAAAAATACTGTAGAACGTGTGGCAAACAAGGTCAACTGATTCACGAACTGTAATTTCATTAATCGTCTAAACATATATTATACCAAAAGAGGAATTCACTACGGAAACAATATAACATCTGCATTACTGATGACGTCATCAGTTGTGACTTCACAACACATTGTCATATTTATAGAGTAGCAGCACATCGATATATCAATAACAAAATTGTGAACAATTTCAAAAAGCGTTGGAACGTTTGAGTAACGTTTTGGTATACTTTACATTCTTTAACGATATATTTAATTTTCAGTCAAGAAGATCTATTAACGTAGGTATTTTTTCATTATAAAACATTTCTGATACCTTGACAACGTATGTAACAAATAATGCACATTTACCTTTTGATAATGTTTTTAAGTAAATTAACAACAGGGTCCTTCTGACGAATGGACAAATCAGTATGGCTAACCTCTAGAACAGACCACCTGTGTTAAAAATAATATTCTATAGTTCTGATTGTTATCATCACTTTTTATTTAATTTTGTTCAGCATGTAAGTACATGTATCAAACGGGCCTGCCTGCTTTTCATCGTTAAGGGCGTTCTGCAGGATTGTTCATTGTTCTCTATTATAGTAGTAAAATGTGAAATTCAATATAATTTTTACCTTTTAAATATGCTTTGTATTACAAAAGTGTATAAAAAGAGAACTATGTTATTTATTTAAAATACAGATAATCAATATTTCTTACTTTGTAGTCGTTTTTATATTAAGATTTCTAGATTGTTCTTTAACTCTCAAGTAATTGTAGTAAGCGAACACTGGTTGAAATGTCATGTTGTTTTCAATTTTTGTAGAAGATGTAGTTTTTGATTCATGTGTAAAACTGGAATTAATTGAAGCGTCCGATTTAACTTGTAAAATCTAATATCTACGTATATTTAAAGCTTAAAATAATTCAATAAAAAATCAAATTACTTGTTAAATGTTTAGTAGCTTTACATGTATATTGTATATCAAGAAGTTATCAAACAAAAATAACATATAAAATTCATCTGCTCCATATTGAATCGTTTGGTTGGTTTTACACCAATGTTAACACATTTGAGCCACGTCATGACAAAACCAACATAATGGGTTTGCGACAAGCATGGATCCAGACCAGCCTGCGCATCCGTCTTTCAAGTATAACTTATCTGTAATTACCAAATATTACGCAAATGGCCGACTTCAAATGCCACATGATTTTTGAATCAGCGTCCGGAGGAAGACAAATTGTGATTGTGAATAACAAAAATCTTACCCGCACCTAAGCATTCAATTTTGCAACCTAAATTCGTAATAGACTCACAATATAGTGCATATTTACCTGCATTTAATTAAATAAGATTGAATAATACGGAATTCATCATTCAACAGAATAAAGAAACTGTCTTATTTTTAATTGAATGCTTATCATCTTTAACAAACAATTTTAACATAGAAAAGCATAGGTCATAAACAGACAACAATATAAATCACCGGCAGCGTTCGTTTTAAATCAAAGCCTAAAGCAAAACAATAAGATCATAATTTACCTATTCATCATCCCGGAGACGATGTCTCTGTCAAGCATATAAGGACCAGGTATCGGCATAACCATGTCTTTTGGTCCAAACACCTTGTTGAAAATAAAACCTGTATGTCTTAAAGAAACCTGCGTACTATCAATTAGGTTTCTATCTGGTTCAATGTAATCAGGAAGTTGTTCAACGTTCATGCAATCTTCACCATCAAATTCACAACTAGCAGTTGCGCAATTCTTCTCACATATTCCATTATTCACACTTGTCATCCGACAGAGTTTGTTACAATAATCCATCTCATCTTTGTTTAATTGAAGCTTGAAAAGGTAATATATAATGAACATACTATGATAACATAAAATACGAATTTCAATTTATTTCTGAGTTTATATCCTAATTATCTTTTGCACATCTTTCTGTTTTAAGTGCACCAGCTTATCTTTGTATGAATCTCAAATTTGATGTTTTAAAACTACTCTTCCACTCAAACGGATATTTGGTTACAGTTACCAAATATACATAAAAGTACAATTTACAGTTTTCATGAGACAACAGTGACCAAACATTTGCCTTGAAATACTTCACACGTATATATAAACACAGTTAACATGTAGTGAATAGGACAGTTTGGTGAAGGTAGAACTCACTACATAAATGTTAAATGTTAGTTTTAAACCGAATTATCAAGATATGGTGTCCTTCCTTTTTGTCTGTTTTTAGACATAACTTTCTATGATATATCGTGCAGCAGTTGATTGCAGGATAAAAAAAACTTACCAAGCGCGCGTTTGATCTACCCGCAAATAACTCAGATCTACTTGCAACTACATGTAGTTAATGGGTGTGTTTATGATTTAAGTTAACGCAAAAGTCTTCCGATAAAACCCGATAACAGGAAACAATAATTTTGAATATCTAAATATCTAAAAAATATAGTAAACGCAAATGTATTTAAGCAAACAAAAAATACAAAGCAAAATTGACATTTATATACATATATACATCTTAAATACGTTACCTTATAACCTGCACTTTCAGTATAAAAATATGACAAATCAACAGTGTCCGTAAATATGACGTCATCCCTCATGTATATAAATCTTTTTGATAATCCGAGTATCCGATGTAGATGGCACTCTATTGCAGCAGACGAAAAAGTAGGCAAATCTGACCGATTTGGAAATATTTCCTGCATTTTATTCAAAGATGAATTAAAGCAAATAACTTGCATGTCCGACTGTCATGTAAAAGATAAAACAAAATGCGAGCTCATTCAAAATCGTAATATTAACAATGATCAATATAATAGTACATGTATTTATATAAATTTAAGATAATATGAACTAAATGAAAAAAAATCTCTTAGAATCATTAAAAAGTCAAAATTTTAATGTTTTCTTAAACCAAACAAATGTATTTATCGGATCAAAGACGAAGTAGTTTTATTCCCAATGATAAGTAAGTAATTTTTGTCATTAGAAACATGTTAAGAAATAAGTGAAATCATAAGTAAAATCAACATCTATTTAGACATCGAATTCTACATTATGATAAGGGCTTAGAAACTAAAAAAAATGCCTCTGAGTGTGAACAAAATCGATTCGAAACAGGTCCTCGTAGAAAATAACTTATAGCGAACACGGTTATAGCGAATTTCCGGTTATAGGGAACAATTTATTTTTGCCCGAATTTTGCCCTTCTTTATTTAATATAAAAATATATTGGTCATAGCAAACACGGTTATAAGGAATTATCGCTTATAAGGAACTCATTTCTTAGTCCCAATTTAGTTAAAAGTACAGAAAATTACACTTTTATAACGAACTCCAAAATAATGGCTATCCGTAAATAGATCCCGCATTTTCAACTTTCGTTTTCATTGGCACGGATAAAAACTCGACGGAATTTACCGTTTATTGTTGGACATCTATAAAAATGAATTTGTATAGTTTTCTAATTAGGGTTTTTTTTAGCATGAGCTCTTTTCACCAACTTGAAGATAAAACGGTTATTTATTGCTTTCCTTCAATAGTTTTGCTTGAGTAAAATAATTATAATAATTTATGATAAGTTTTCAACATATTCACGTATACTTGCAAGCATGCTCCATTGCAAACTGCAAAGTACGCTTGATTTAAATGAAAAGATATCTATATCTTACATTACTAAAAGTCACCCTTAAATTATAATAGAAGATATTCAATATAAAAGAAAGGAAAAATCAAAAATATTGTTTATTCTCAATCAGGGAAAGAAAACGAAAAGAGTTTAGAAACAAAATATTATATTTTATGAGAAATTGAGATAGGGAGTAAAACTAAAACTGAAATAGCAATGATTTTCAAATTCAAAAAGTACGCTCTCGTGTAAAAAATAGAAACAATGGACTATTTTTTTCTAAATCAAATGCTCTTCAATATGGCGGACAATGGTAAACAATCAGTTCGTTATATGTAAATCTGTTCGCTATAAAAACTCCTGATACAAAGAACTAATTCGCTATATGCTTACAAGGAACTCCGGATATAAGGAACAGATTTTGAATGTCCCAATGAGTTCGTTATAAGCGTAATTTACTGTACTAGCAAAATAGGAATAAATTGTACCCAGAAAAAATATCTTTCATTTATATATATATAAAAAAGAAGAAAGCCTTGAGTTGAAATTTGTACACAGAAAAATCACACGAAAAATCGGCAAGTCGCTAGTGGGACTCGGAACCATGTCTCTGGATGCCGGTCCAGTAAGATTAACCGCTACACCTTAGAAACAGAAGACGTAATAAGACAATATAAAGAACATTCAGTCATTTAGATATCAGTTTGTTATGTACAATTTGGATCACACCATTCTACCAAACAAGAATGTGCTATAAATGCATTGCATTTATCAATTTATAATGCTTTATTTCAAATTGACATGCAATTTAAAGAATGCAATCATAAACACTAAATCTTGTCGTTTCCACTCACAAATATTTGTGAAATAATACAAATACTCGTACATACCTTATGAGTAATAATGTTGATTCGCCGATTGTCCATATTAAGCCAGAATGGAATTTGCCCACTTGTGACTAAATGTACGGTCCTTATCCAAGGTGCAAACTTTTCAACAGATCTTAGAGAGTATTTTAGAGTTCCCCAGTCTCGGTATCGATTCTTTGCTAGTATTTCAAGTCTAAAATATAAGATTATCTAGGCAGTTTATGTGAACATGTCCTAAATGTTTGTATTTTAGAGTATATGACATTAAAATGCGACGATGACTAGCGACACACACAAAATGAGATACAATATAGAGTTATTTGTTTGAAGACTTGTCTAACAATTATGCTAGTTAATAAATTAAGGCAACCGATAGAATATTAAGCATATCTTACGGATTTGCATGTTCCTGTCTGCTAAGACGGTTTAATTCACGAATGAATTTAGGATCCGAGGTGTTTACCCATATATATACCATGTCAACTGGGTCAGTATCATATCCGCTGAGAATGTCATATGTGCCATATGTGCTTTTATTTGACCTATTAAAGAATAAATAAAATAAATAAAAAAAACAAAAAAAAAAAAAAAAAAAAAAAAAAAACAAAAAAAAGAAAACACAAAACAAAACATAATCCCTAAAGACATCTAAGCAAAATTGAAAATGTAGTAGGCTCGGTTTAATTGAGCCTATTGTAACTTATGTCATACATGTATGTTATGTTCGGATGCTATATGCATATAAGCACACACACTATCTTGTATACTCGATTACTCGTATAATGAAAAA